TCTTGCTTAAATAGTTTTATAACGTATTTGTCAACAGGATTTCAATTTATGTTTACAATTCAATATTAAGGTTATTATATATTTAGATAACATTTATATCATTATAAATTAGATACATTTAATCATTAGATTTTCTTCACAGTACTTTCACAGTTGTTTATAAGTGAATAAATTCTTCATTTCAAATACATTTATAAATAATTTAATGAAACATTTATGTATTTTATTAAGGGCAGACATATGCTTTTTGCATATGCATGTACAATACCCATACATATTTCATTTTTGGAGTGTTTAAAATCTTTGTGCATTCACTATATTTTTCGTGTAAAGTAATTTACAATAATTTAGCATACACCAGAAAGTTCTTACATAAGAAATACTATGTATAAATATAATTTGAATGAAAATTATAAGTATTATTTTTAATACCCACTCAAAGGTCAGTTTTTCTTCAAAATTCCTCCACGATGGCATCTTCTCTCCTTTAGGTAGATAGCCCTTGCATGCCTTACTCTATCTATTTAATAAAAACTTAATCCTGACCTATGTGCCTGATTACAAATTTTTAACATACATAATTTTATATTTATAAAACGTGTAAGCCCAAAGTGATTATTTTTCAGATATATAAAATTAAAACGATGGGTTTAAAATGAGCAGCAGTAGAGCCTCTCCTCTAAAAAATTTTAAAAGGTACATGTTACAGTAATATAGGATGTGAAAAAAATTTGTTTTATTTAAAACATTTTGACGTTTGGAAAATAAAATAAAAGTAGCGAATACTCTATCAAGGGTATCGAAAGACGTATACAATTTTAAATGTACCGTAAGGTATTTTTCATTCTTTAAGCATAACATTTTTCTTAAAATCTATATTTCTGTAGTGCAACAGCTTATAATTTTATAAAACAAATTCATAATCAAAATCGCTGTTGTTAGTTATCGAAAAATAACCAAGATGTGATTTTTGCGTAAATGTCACTAAACTATACAAATTGCTATTATCCATCACACTATGAATGTTTCTTTCATGCGAAAGTGTCCCTTTTTCGATTTCTATGGAACTGTCGTGTGTCGAAATACTATCAGAATCTTGTCAAGCGAGCTTCTGAATGTAAACAAAGAACACCCCGTCTGGTGACCCAAGCTTCAAAGCAGTGCTTCACTTTTAGCGCGGGGTTGGCCCCTCCTCCCTTTCCTACCTCCATGAGTGGGACATTACCCAGCGAACCGGGGGAGTGCTACCTCCCGGCTACTAGAGCCGTACCGCTCAGGACTTGCCAGACCTCGAGGCCGGCCAATAAGTGACCTTTTCCAGGGCCTTCAGAACCACCAATTTCATAAATTATATACCTCCGTGGCCGAGACCGCCTAGGTACAGCTCCTAGCAGTAACTTCGCAGAATTCTCTACGTCGACCCCGGGGGAGGGGTCCATTGGACAAAAATTTTTAAAAATTACATTTTTTATTTTGTGTAACTTCAGTGATAGAAAACAAACATATTGTTATAAAATCATACAAAAAATTCGCAATAATCTTTTAGCCTTTATTTAATTGCATCATAAAAAATCTGTGCAAAAATATAAAATCAGAAAGCTTTCAGATTTTATATTGCGACCAAAGGGACTTTTTTTTCGTTTACACGGACATACACGTTCCGAGAGCATTTAGGCTAATGTAGCTTTGGACTAAAAATATTTAAAAACAGATCATCTTTAGAATTTCCGATGGACAGTCTCGCCCGCTGGAAATAAAAATGTTTTTTTTTTCGAACAGTGTTGCCATTGCTCGTTTGCAAATCGTTGAGTTAGTTAATAAAAATTTCGTTAAAGTTTTACAAAATATGGAATAGGATTTGGAAAACAATTCCAAATTTGGACTTCCGGGTGTTCATATTCGGGTGGAGGAATACGTTATTCAAATTTTGATAGCTTTATGTACCCTTGTTTTTACGCGATGTTAGAAATATACATAAATTAATGCAGATTCTTCATTATTTAATTTATTTAAATATAATATTATTTGGTGGCAACAATTTGAAAAGTGATATAACACTTTTCATGATTCAAGGCAAAATGCCGTTTCGAGATTAATAGCCCTTCTGGGCTAATGCCTCTTTGGGCTAAAAATAGGAGAGAATAATTTTTTTTTTTTTTTTTTTTTTTCATGTGACTAAATTCTTTTTTAGAAATTTCTTCTGTTAATATTAGGAATCGAAATATTCTCTGTCTTAATTGTCTGTTCCGCAAAAAAATTTCTATTTCAATCATTTTGTTTTTCAAGTGCTGAATCAGTTTTGCTTTTTCTTGATCTTTTTCCTGATCCCCCCTAACATATTAGTTTCTAGCTTAAATGCAAATACAAGCGTCTATTCTTCCGTCTCTGAATTTATTAAACGGCTCTAGATTGTTAGTCCAAAGGGGGCTTTGTTCCTGAAGGATTATTGTTTTCGTTTTGCGATTTTGCGTTGAATCACTATAAATGTCCGTTTCACTTTTCAAACTGTTGCCACCCAATGTTAGAGTCCTGCATTATATTTGAAGAAATTAAATCATGATAAATCTGCATAAATGCATGTCTATTTCTCGCATTGTGATAAAACAACGGTACATGCAGCCATCAAATTTTGAATGACGTTATCCTCCTACGAATATGAGTATGTGGAAGACCAAATTTGAAATTTGTTTTATTATCGATTTCATATTTTGTAAAACATTAACAAATTTTTGATTAACAAACTCAAGGATTTCAAAGCGAGCAATGGCAACACTCTACGGGGAGAAAAAACCTTTTTATCTCCAGCGCGCGGGACGGTGTATCGGAAATTCTAAATATATGCTCATTTAATAATTATTTTGCGACATTGCTATTGAACTGAATTTTATGGTTTAAGTGCAAACATGATATTTAATAAATAAAGGTAACACACAAAACGCAAAACGTTTAAAAAAAAATGCTTCTTTGGACTTCATTTAAAATTTGAAACCTTTCAGTATTTTTTTTTTTTTTTTTTTTTAATTTTAGTTTTGTACATGTCGTGAAATTTTGTCACTTTTACACCAGGTATATTTTCTTTCTCTTTTTTAAAGCATAATGAGACTCTTTTCCCTTAAAGGAGTTAATAAATTCATTTGTTTTATTGGGCGCCCAGACGGTATAGTGGTTAGGGAAGGTAAACCGCTGAGCTGGCTTCCGACCCAGGTATAGATATATCCATGCAGAATTGGTTACCAACGCGGCAGGAGTCAACCACTAGCTACCAGACCGTAGCCCTCGGCAGGCCCGGCTGAGCAGACGACATTTATAATATGCAAAAAAGAGATATGCATGTGCATACAAGGCACCTGAAGAAGAGTACAACAAATATATATATGTGCATACAAGGCACTAGAAGAAGAGTACAATCAAAATATATGTATATACATATAAATACAAACTCATATACAGATATATACACACTTACATACATAAATATTCCGAAACAAATAAAAGTATACATACTGTCACTCATATTGATATATATATATATCCATACGTTATCATGATAGTTAAAGTTTACAAGAGAAACATGCCATTGAGGTACGCGTGATCCTTAGTATAAATTAGGTACCATAAATAAAAGATATAAACATGTACAGATACAGTACACGAACTTTATGTATGAGAACCTGGCACAGCATAAATACAAAATTACATATTGAACAATACATATCACATATACTCTGTTGCTGACATATTGAACTAGCTTATATAGACTTTTATGACTACTATCTTCCAGTGTCAGAAGAATAATTGCTAGTACAGTCGTCAATTATTGTTTTCAGTTTCCGCTGGGCAACTCTGTTACTTTGTAGATTCTGGAACCAGTCTGGCACTGCGGCAGCGAAGGGCCCCGGGTTCGAATCCTGGAGAAGGCATGGATGTTTGTAAGTGTATAGTGTCTTTGTGGCATGGGGTACTCTAAATATATGGCGAGCCGAAAGACCTCTAGAGAGGTTGGTGGTAGGGGAATAAGGGTGTGAGATCCTCGGACCCGTCCCTTCCCCGGGATGTTATCCATCAAAATTGGGGGCGGAACTGAGCGAAGTCATACTGTCACCTGGATGGTGCTCAGGCTGTTGCCAACAGCAGGCGATTGCTACAATTTGTGACACGATTGATCTCCTTGCCACAATTTGTGGCAACAACAATTCTTTACCAACAACAGGCGCAATTTTGGGCTTGTTCTGATGTTACTGTCAGGCAAGTGAGATAAATCAGAACACAACATTATTTTAGAAATAGTTTCATCAGGAAGTGCATGTTTTCCTCTCCACTCTACGAATGCATTTCCACCGAGGCCAAAGTTTCGATGTACCTCTATTTTTTGTAATACCGTGGAATAAAGCAAAGTCATTTGCAGAAACTTGCTCATTGTTATATTACTCGTCTTGGAAACAACGCACTCAATAAGAATAAAGCGCATGGCGTGAAGATCCCTCATTTCCAAAACGAGATCATAGTCGCATCACAGGCAGAAGCAGTATAAGACTGGCGAGATAATAATTTTGGGTAATATATAAATTTTTAAGTTTATTAAAAGGTTTCTCACGCTAAACAGCTATCATTTATTGCTTGCGTGGCACGTCTTGCCGTCTTGTTGAAAACATTTATCTTCCGGATCCGTATAAAACAAAAGAAGCCGCAAGAACTAGTTTATCATCGCTCTTAGTTCGGTCCTCAGTGGTTTCAGAAAAAACTGTCGGGCAGTGCATCTTTCCATGATTAATTACCAAAACGTACCGCATATGTCTGTTAAATCAGATGTTTAAAATATGTCCTAGGGTTGCCTGATAAAAACCACTTGAAATCCGCATGTTGAAAATAGAAACCTGATGTATTATCACCTATTTACAAGTTTCAAAGAGTGCCCATCTTCTATGCTACCTTTATATATCTTGATTCAGAAATCTCAGTTATAAGGGTTATAAATTTTTAATATCTTTCTTCTATTCCAGGCACACAGAGACATGGACATGAAGGCCGAAGGCTCACGAAATCCGACAATTCCTGTTGTGGATGGTGGAGCCATAACTAGGCCACCGACTGAGAGTGCCAACTGTGCAGCATGCCAGAAACCAATCAGAGAGCGGTATTTGTTAAAGGCTCTCGATCAGTTCTGGCATGAGGATTGCCTCAAGTGCGCCTGTTGCGACTGTCGTCTAGGAGAGGTAGGATCCACACTCTTCACCAAAGCCAACCTCATCCTTTGTAAGAGGGACTACCTCAGGTAAATTGTTTCACTAGGCATTCCTACTTATGTACAGTATAGAAGGAAGTTTAATTCTTCACGCTCCTTTGATTTCGCGTGTATGTGATCCAGTTTCGTTAAAAAGTCCTCCACGAAGGCATCCCCCTTACGCAAATAAGCCTGGAGTGTTTTTCCATAATCAAATAAACCAAACATTTGACTTAGTTGGGTATAGCAGATGTTTAACGCTGCAGTTTCATAGGAGCCTCTATGGCGACATACGGAACAAACTAGTCTGTGGTGTATTTAATTATGGCAAAGCACACTAGGGCTATTTGCCTGAGGGCATGGATGCCTTCGTGGAGGACTTTCTAAGGGAAACTAGCTCGTATACACGTTACACGTGGGGAAAACCACGAAAACACCCATGCAGCCAGCCCGTTCGCGGGATTCAAACCTCGGACCGAACTACCAGTGTTCAGCGACTTTACCGCTCCGCCGCTGGTGGGCCGAATCATCACTAGAATCGAACTTGAAATTTAAAAGCCTTGTTTTTTTTTTTTTTTTTTTTTTTTTTTTTTTTTTTTTTTTTTTTTATCCTTTGACAACTGGACTACAGAAGAATCCTTTAGTAACGGTAACGCGCTGAATACGGTTAAGAGGTTTTTCCGGGTAACTGAGTATATATTTCTAAAACTTATTTGCTCACATTTTTTGATGCCATCTGTAGAAATTGCAGCGTGCGAAAGCCGCTGGTAGTGTGTTTGATTGGTCTGCCAGAATGAAATAAATCATAGCAAAAATTATACAGATTATTTCAAATAAAGACACATAACATGATTTTATATTTCAGGAAAACAAAATTAAGCAACATTTCAAAATTGCCAGATTTATAATCACGCCGGCTCAGACGGTATCGTTGTTAGGGGAGTCGACTGCGATATCAAAGGACGCGGGTTCGAATCCCGGAGAAGGCATGGTTGTTACTGTCCATCCGTTCATAGGAGGCAAAGGTGGCCCACCCATTAGATGCCTCCATGCCTCAAGAACTCTACCATTTCTGGCTTTAGTAGTGGCTTTAGTAGTGGGTAAAAAAAAAATATCTATAATCACATAAAATTTACGAATTTTTTTGTGTGATGGCATATAATTTCGAATGCCTGCCTACTTACAAGACTGTTCCCGCAGTTTCAGAAATTCGCTGGACATAAAATAAAGCATCCTAACACCGTGTACGGACATAGACGAACATTTTTCTTGAAATCTTACGAAAGTCTGCAGTTCTTTTTCAGCTTTCTTCCACCTAACGTTCTTGCTCTGCGTGTCGTCTTTGTTTCCTCGACTTCTCCTTTCCCAGTATATGTTCGATTGTTTCGTCATCTTGTGAGAATGCAATGGGGAACATAATTGTCTACATTCGTCTCAGACTGCCCTTCTTCTTCATAAACACCATTTTTTCCCAAATATCTAAGTATCGAGGTGTCTGACGCGGACGCTGGAAAAGTTTTAAAATCAAGAGAATATTTGCCACTCGACTCGTCATCTACGAACATGATCTTATGCCAGAAATTTCACCAACAGCTAAGTAAAATAACATTCTTTATGTTTAAATAATATAAGTAATTATCACGCCCTTCAGTGTTAACTGTTTCTGGAAATCGTGGACACTACATTAAAAGTTCACACATAGACGCAAAAAACAAGATCGGTAGCCCTATAGAGTCTCGCTTTCTTTGGCATCATCAACTAACGAGTTCTAAAAAGATTGTAGAAGAATTATCCTCGGTTCTAATGACAACAGACAAAGCAAGAAGGATGTAAATGACTCTCACGGGATAATTTAAATACGCAGGCAGGCTCTGGTTCGTAGAAGCTGGCGGAATAAGCTTAGTGGCTAGAAACACTCTGGGAAGCACTTGGGGAACTTTTGAAAACAAAATTGCAATTTCCGTACCTTACTTATTTATCAGAGTTACTTTAAACTAACTCTTTTCTGTTTCCCAGAATCAAGCACTTTTTCTAGCAAGCTTGCCAAATCATCTGTGTACTATGAAATTTAAGGGAAGGAAAGATGATATAACAGTAATGTGTGTCCTTTGGTGACGAGCCACGGAATATTGCTCTGTCACATGCCCTTCTGCCAACACTAGAAATGTGCAGACATACTTTCGTAGAGATTGAACATAGGTATAATATTTCCTTGTGATATAGGAATAATGGAGGAAAGAAGGTTGAAACCACTGTCATTTACATGCACTTTTGAGACGCATAAAATATTCAGGAAGATTTTAAGCACCTTTTTTTAACAGCTTTTCAACAATAATTTTCTTCACTTTGTGACTAGAACTTTGTGACTTTGTGACTTTGTGACTAAGCCAAAGGACGAACTCCAGTGGAAGCTCGGAACAATTAAGACAGAAAAACAATTAAGATAGGTAATTTTCTGCAATAATTATCCAGTATCTAATTTTATCAGGCATCATTCTGTCTTTTAAGTAACTGCACTCATAAAATATCTGCAGATGTGCTTCATAATTTAACACAAAGTGTACCATTCACTTTTTGTTAGCGTAGAGGACTATAAAACACAAACAAGGAATAAAACAACGCAAAAACAATAGACTAGCGATATATTGCCTCTAAAGAAGTCATCCTTTATTGCTAATGTGTTTACGTGTACAAATATAAAAATAAAGGTAATATAAACAAAAACAAATCCAGGATCTAATTAGCGTTATCCTTAATTTACAATAGGGATTAAATTCCATCTTTTAAAAATCCGTTCTCTCATAAATCCCCATAACTCGGTATTGTTCCCGAACCTTTCCAAAACAATTAGCCTTTTAAAACATTAGTATTAATCTTAACAACAACTCAAACGTTTAAGGTGCAGGTAGTTAAGGGATTAGTTCAGCTTTAATTCGCCATAAATTAGTTACATAAAAACGTCCAATGTTGAAATATTTTAAATTGAATTTTATTAAAAGAGTTAAACACATTAGCTGTATTTGAGACCAGTTAATGGTTTTTGTGTATTTTAAAAGAAATATTAATTTGTAAAATCTATGTAAACGGCAATTAAAATTTTAATAGCCACAATACTTTAAAGGTTTTAAGGGGACTCATACACCTTAAAACCCATAAGATCTTCGAATATGTGACTGTTGCAAGAATTAGGATAACTTATTTATTTTAAAAGCAATTACTTCCAAATTTTTACAGCTGACTACGTAATACAGCTGCTTTCTGAAATAGTAATCTGAAAGTTTGTGTTGCCACAAATATTTTTATAATTTAATCCGCTTTGTGACAAAATTTTTCGTCAAGTTTCCACTTGCGCGCCGCAGTTTAAAACATTCTATTGCATAATTTAATTTCATATTTAATATATAGCTTTTATAACTTTGAAAACTGTTGTGAACCTAAAATTCTAAGAATTTCATGTTAATTTTTTATTTTATTTGGAGTTGAGTTTATAAAATGTATTTTATTAAAAAATCTGTAATGTTCGTGCATAAATGAACTACAATCAATGTCCAATTTTATGGCTCACATAAAAAAAAAAAAAAAAAAAAAAATAAAAAAAAAAAAAAAAAAAAAAAAAAAAAAAAAAAAAAAACAAAAAAAAAAAAAAAAAAAAAAAAAAAAAAAAAAAAAAAAAAAAAAAAAAAAAAAAAAATTTTTAACACCCCCCCCCCACCCGAAAAAAGATAAAAAGCTGGAAGTAATTGCTTTTAAAATAAATGAATTCTTGCAACAGTCCCATATTAGAAGATCATAAGGGGTTTAAGGTGTATGAGCCCCCTTAAGAGTATATATTTTTATCATTCCTTTATTAGAATAGGATCATAATATCAGTGCTACCTATTATCCTTGAGAGAAACAACGAAAGTTTCTCTAAAAGTAACTAATGAAATAACAATATTTAAACTCAGTGTAGTTCGAAGAGTTTATTAATAGTCCGCATTTGACACATTTCTGTTGCTCTTTGTAACCGAGAATACGATTCAAAAATAGTATTGTTGCGTGCGTACGGGTTCGTTATGAATTGAATGCACAAGTCCGATAAAAAATGAACAAAATTTATTATTATCACAACAAATAAAACAAAATGCTTAAATTTTCTCAGATAGTCGTACAGTATTACAATGTCTCACAGTAGTTATCTTTTAACTACTCAAACGTTCAACAGAACTTGATTCAAAACAGGTAGAGAAAGCTAATCCGCAAATTCGCTACAGCCAACAAGAGCAGTTTTTTAAACAAACTCTTAAAACAACTAACTGAATTGAAATGATTTTCTCCTTTTTATAAGCTTTTTAAATCATGCACAAGACTGTTCTAGCAATTTCTCGAAATTAAAAAGACATATTTATTTATTAAATGTTAAATGCACTTGGTCTTGTGTTATTAATTTTCCGGCTTAGCTTTCTTTTAATATTCGTCTCGCACTGCACTGCATGGGAAATAAAACAATTTTATTTATAATTCTACTAACGCTAGCTATTTAAATACCAAATCCGTAACAGTATTACGAATTGTAAAATCTTCTATGGCAACATTTACATCCTAACATACATTCTCATCTTTGTACAACTTTAATTAGCCGAGATATTAATTAAAAACCCTTTAAAATGCTAATTTTTGCCCTCATTTTTCTGAGCGTAAACAGTCTGGCACGCTGCAGAAACAAATCTCCTTTATCTCAGAAAGTGTTGCCACTGCTCGCTTTCAAATCGTAGAGCTTATTAATCAAAAATTTGTAAGTTTTACAAATATGAAATAAAAATATCATTGCCAAACATTAAACATATTATTATTATATAACGTCATATTCTGGCATTCAAGAAAGCAGGCGACTGTATGTGGCATAACTGTATGTCGAAAATGTTTTGTTAATGTCAGCATTTCAAATAAATACCTACTTTTTGCACCTTTTTACTTCCTTGTACAAAGTAAAAAGGAAGTATTGTAATCGTGAAAAGTTTCAGGCAGCATATTTCAACGAGAATATCCATTTTGACCGCTATCGAATGCAA